GACAAGGCAGCAATCCATGAAGGGGCAGACGGATGTACCTCCGCAAAATGTAAGAAAAGAACAAAGAAGCTTTACTGCTGTTTCCTTTGTCCAAGAAGCCTTTTGACTGATTTTTTCCTTCTTCTGTTATCCAAAGGAGGGCCTGAGAGGGGAGCTGACCACTCAGTGGCTTTTCTCTGGTGCAAAAGGGAAGAATCCAACTCCAGAGTTCTCCAGAATTTGCAAAGCAGGTGAGAGCACTTCCTCCCTTCTTCCCTCCTTCCCTCCTACCCTTCCTTCCTTTGTTCGTTCATTTGTTTGTTTGTTCCTTCCTTCCTTCCTTCCTTCTTTTCTCAGGAGCACCTCTGTACACTTGATACCATGCAGTATTTGTAAAGCTTAGACTGTTAGGTAATTTATACTGACTAGCAAGCAACATCAAGAGCAAGTTCATATGCATTTACGGGTGGGCTTCTGTACGCATGTGTTCCCTTTACTTATACTGCTTCTGTTAAATCCACAGCTGATGGCACCATAGAAATCATAGAATTAGTGGAGTTGGAAGGGGCCTACAAGGCCATCCGGCAGGCAGTGGAAGACAGCAGGACTTGGCGTGCTCTAGCCATGCCATCACAAAGAGTCAGACATGAATTCACAACTAAACAACAACAAGACCATCAAGTCCAGCACCCTGCTCAATACATTAATAGAATCAAAGCATATCTGCTAAATGATTATCTCTGTTTTTCTTGAATGCTTCCACTGTTGGAGCGCTCACCAACTCCTAAGGTCACTTCCACTGGCGTATTGCTCTAACACTTAGGAAGTTTTTCCTGATATTCTACCGAAATCTGGCTTTCTTTAACTTGAGCACATTGTTGCGTGTCCGATCGGGGGGAGTGGGTTCTCACAATAATTTTTGCTTCTGTCCTCCTATTTTTTGGTCTTGTTTTGTCCCTTAAGTTGTGTCCGACTCCTTGTGACCCTATGGACCAGAGGACACCAGGCCCTCCTGTCTTCTACTGCCCCCCAGAATTGGGTCAGATTCATGTTGGTCGCTTCAATGACACTGTCCAACCATCTCATCCTTTGTTGTCCCCTTCTCCTCTTGCCTTCACACTCTCCCAACATCAACGTCTTTTCCAGGGAGTCTTCTCTCCTCATGAGAGGGCCAAAGTATTGGAGCCTCAGCTTCAAGGTCTGTCCTTCCAGTGAGCATTTAAGGTTGATTTCCATCAGGATAGAAAGGTTTGTTCTCTTTGCAGTCCAGGGGACTCTCAAGAGCCTTCTCCAGCACCACAATTCAAAAGCATCAATTCCTCGGTGGTGAGCCTTCTTTATGGTCCAGCTCTGGACAGCTGTTTGCATAGGCCTTCTACAGCCTTAACCAGATCTTTTGTATTAGTTATTTTTATAGACAGATAATTTTGTTTTTCTTTGTCTGATGTTTTAACTTGATTATTATTGTGGTTTTATTTCATTTTTATGTTATGTTATTGTAAGCCACCCAGAGTAATGACCTGGCCACTAAATGGGTGGGGTATAATCCACAATTTTGAACAAAAATGATAGAAAATTATATTTAATCAGTAAATGAACATAAAACAGCCACTAAAAACCATATTCGGTTATTTTGCATGCAAGGCCTATGTTTTACCATAGATTTATGGCTATTCCTCTACAGATAAGCCTTCTGAATTGTCAGTGGAATACTGTTTGGTTCTACTAACTAGCATTTCAAGATGATTTGGCCTGGAGGTAAAAAAGACCCCAAACCCTTTGGGGAGTGTTTTCTTCATTAACTTAAGAACTAGTGAATCCGCAACCAAGCATTCGCCACATCTGAATGTGGGGATGGGAAGGAACAAGTAACAGTCTTCTGGGGCTTGAAACCCATGAGACTGAAGATGGAAATAAAGCAGGTGGAGATCACATCCCCATTCTCTCTTCCCAGAGCTGTCAACAGCTTCTCCACGGGAGGATAATGATAAATTATTCACTTCATAGTTAACTGGGGGGGAGGGGGGATACTCCTATAAGTGTCAGTTTTGCTCTTCAGTCTACCTGTATTCTAGGCTTAATTGAAATAAAATGAACTTCATCTCATCCAGGAACAGATATAAAAATTATTCACGTGTACATTTGCATTGTTTTCTAAGGCCACAGGATAGAGACAAGGTAAACAAGGGCCTTGTGATTACATGCCTTGTTCTTATCAACATGTGGGACATGCCATAGATTCCAAGCAGGAAACTAGAAATATATATTCACCAATATTTATTTATTTATTTATTTATTTATTTATTTATTTATTTATTTATTTATTTATTTATTTATTTATTTATTTATTTATTTATTTATTTATTTATTTATATCCTGCCTATCTAGTTGTTCTAGTTACTCTATGTGGCTAGAAATTGGACTGTGGTCTGCAAATGTGTTAGGTAAAATGTCTATTTGCTTCAGTTCTTTCATTAGGCGTGTTGAGATTCAACATGCATCAATTCTTGACCACGAATTATGTCTTTCAGAGTAGAAAGTATGATCTCTTGTCTTTGGGTAACACATCCTCCAAGCATCTGTGATATTTACCATATTTTTTTGCTCCATAAGACGCACTTCCCCCCCACAAAAAGTGTGTGTGTGGGGGGGAGTCTGTGCATCTTATGGAGCAAAGATGGTGATTTCATCTGCACTGGCCTCATGGGTGGGAGCCTCCCAAGGGTCTGAATGAGCCTTCTAGGACCCTTGCAGGGCTCCCCTCCCCCCCACAGGGCTAGCGGGAGTGAAATCACCAGCTTCCAGGACCTTTTCTGAGCCTTTCAAGCCTCACAAAAGGTCCTGGAAGCGGGTGATTTCTCCCACGCTAGCCCCATGGGGGTGGGGGGAGCATCACAAGGGTCTGAGTGAGCCTTCCAGGACCCTTGCAACAGTCCCTCCAATAGGAATTGAGCACCTCTGCCTCTTCTTTGTCCTCGGTTATCATTTTTTCATCTCCATTGCAGGTGAAATCACCACCTTATTGGCTTAGGAAGCTTCAGAAGAGTCCCAGAAGGTGGCGATTTCACCCCTTCTGACCCCTGGGGGGGCAGGGTGAGTCTCTTAAGGGTCCTGGAACACACTCTAGGACCCTTTGGAGGTTCACCCTGCCCCCCAACTGGGCCAGAGGGGGCGAAAGTGCCACCTTTTGAGACTTTTGAGGCTTGGGAAGCTCCAGAAGAGTCCCTGAAGGTGGCGATTTTGCTTCCTCTGGCCCTGCGGGGGTGGGGTGGAGGGAGCCTCCCAAGGGTCAGAGTCTGCCTTTCAGGACCATTGGGAGGCTCCCCCAACCCACCCCCCATGGGCCCGGAGGGGGCGAAATCGCCACCTTCTGGGACTATTTTGAGGCTTGGGAAGCTTCAGAAGAGTTCCTGAAGGTGGAGATTTCACCCCCTGTGGCCCCATGTGGGGCAGGGTGAGCCTCCAAAGGGTCCGAATAAGCCTTCCAGGAGCCTTGCGAAGCTGCCCCCACTGCCACGGGGCCAGCGGGGGTGAAATCACCAGCTTCCAGGACCTTTTCTGAGCCTTTCAAGCCTCACAAAAGGTCCTGGAAGCGGGTGATTTCTCCCACGCTAGCCCCATGGGGGTGGGGGGAGCATCACAAGGGTCTGAGTGAGCCTTCCAGGACCCTTGCAACAGTCCCTCCAATAGGAATTGAGCACCTCTGCCTCTTCTTTGTCCTCGGTTATCATTTTTTCATCTCCATTGCAGGTGAAATCACCACCTTATTGGCTTAGGAAGCTTCAGAAGAGTCCCAGAAGGTGGCGATTTCACCCCTTCTGACCCCTGGGGGGGCAGGGTGAGTCTCTTAAGGGTCCTGGAACACACTCTAGGACCCTTTGGAGGTTCACCCTGCCCCCCAACTGGGCCAGAGGGGTCGAAAGTGCCACCTTTTGAGACTTTTGAGGCTTGGGAAGCTCCAGAAGAGTCCCTGAAGGTGGTGATTTTGCTTCCTCTGGCCCTGCGGTGGTGGGGGGGAGGGAGCCTCCCAAGGGTCAGAGTCTGCCTTTCAGGACCATTGGGAGGCTCCCCCAACCGACCCCCCATGGGCCCGGAGGGGGCGAAATCGCCACCTTCTGGGACTATTTTGAGGCTTGGGAAGCTTCAGAAGAGTTCCTGAAGGGGGAGATTTCACCCCTGTGGCCCCATGTGGGGCAGGGTGAGCCTCCAAAGGGTCCAGGAACACACCTTAGGACCCTTTGGGGCCTCCACCAACCCCCACAGGGCCAGAGGGGGCTAGGGTGTGTTCCATAAGACGGACCTCTCCATAAGGCTCACCAAATTTTTAGGAGAAGAAAACAGATTAATTTTTCCCTTCTCCTAAAAATTTGGTGCGTCTTATGGAGCAAAGAATATGGTACTTCTTCCGCCAACTGTAGAACATTTCTTGAGATCGTTCCCCTCTCTTTTTTTTTTGTTATTTTAACTGATTTTGTGTCCAGTTCTTCATCAAAAACAGCATTAAAATCTCCTATCACACAATAGTTGTCATAATCTTTATTTGTTGGTTCTAGTTGCAATTGTTTAATTATTTTTCTTGATTTCCATTTGGCGCATAAATATTAATGTTTAGCATTTGTGTTTATTCTCTTTGGATTGTGACTGACAATATCCTTCCGTTGTCTGAGGCAAATAGTTTTGGTTCCAGTTCTTTCTTTATATATATAGCAGCAGTTTTCTTCTTTTTACTTATATCCGTATTTTCCTAGCATTGAACATTCCAACAGTTTCTGGTCTGCTCTTTTCATATGGGTTTCTTGAATGCAAATTACATCAGATTTCTGTTGCTGCAGTTGTAGAAAGGTCTTTTTCCATTTTTTAGGTGAGTTCATGCCATTTATATTGATTGAAAAAAATCTTCAGTTGTTTTTTAGTCATCTTGTCATTGGTTACTACCTTTCTGTTTTTTTCTTCACCAAGGCTCAGCTACTTCCTGAGTGGCTCTGTCTGATTCTGATTGTGATGGATGGTCTGATTTCTCTTGAGGTTTTTCTTCTGATTTCCCCTCCTTCTTTCTTTCTCCCTGTTTTGCCAAATTCTTCTCATTTTTTCCATAAAGTCTTGCACTTTCATTGGTGAAGTTATATTGTATCGCTGTGTGTCAATTCAAAAGAATAAACCTTCTGGTATCAGCAATTTTCAAAAATTCCATTTTCTTGATGTAACAGTGCAAAGGAGGAGAATTTCTTCCTTCTCTGCCTCATTTGCCAGGGAATTTGTTATCTTCTATCATCAATTGTCTATCTCGTGAGGCTCTTAAAATCTTGTCTCTAATTGATTTCTTCATAAATCTCAGGTGGATTTCTTTGGGGAGAGTGTTTCTTTTTGCACACGCTGCATTCACCCTGAAAGATGCTTCCATATATTAACAGAAGTCGGCAGCTTCCATCCCTATTTCTGCAGCCAAGGCTTTACTCATTAATATCTCTAGATCCTCCCCTTCCTTTTCTGGTACATTTTGAAAACAAAGCATCTCCGATGCTCTCTCCATCTCTAGCATTACCTATCTGTCGTCACTTTATTTTTGATTCTTCAACACTGCCTCTAATGTTTCTTAAGTTTGATTCACTCTAGCATATGTTCTCTCTTTTTCTCAATATCTTGTGTTTTTCTTTTGACTTCAGTTATTTGTTGTTCGGCATCTTTAATCTCTAGTGTCATCTCTTTCATCTGATCTGCTATTTGGCTGAGACGTTCATTTACTTGCTGAAATCCTGCTGTTAGTATATTTTGCATGGTAGTCTGTCTTTAAAAGAAGAAATTCTAAAGGCACAACTACAAATAATTCCAACAAGAATAAAAGGGGTAAGGTGTCAAAAAAAAGGCCAGCGTGTCTTTACCAAAAGCTCAGTGAGGACCTAAAAACCAAAAAAGACAGGTACAGGAAATGAAAAGAAGGCCAAGCCATCAAGAAAGCTATTTCTGCAGCCAAGGCTTTACTCATTAATATCTCTAGATCCTCCCCTTCCTTTTCTGGTACATTTTGAAAACAAAGCATCTCCGATGCTCTCTCCATCTCTAGCATTACCTATCTGTCGTCACTTTATTTTTGATTCTTCAACACTGCCTCTAATGTTTCTTAAGTTTGATTCACTCTAGCATATGTTCTCTCTTTTTCTCAAGATCTTGTGTTTTTCTTTCAGGGAATTGGCACCGGAGGCCAGGGATCTGCCAGAAGTGCTTCCGGCAGAGGTCTGGCAGATTGGCGTGAGGAAGCGTCGCGTGCGATAGGTATGGCTTTGGCCCCAAGGACGGGAACAAAATATAGAAGGGTAGTGAAAGAGTTTTCAGAATTTAGGTGCAGGGCACGTCTGGAACTGAGGTGGCCGGCACCGGTTGAACACATACAGCAATTCATGTTTCATCATAATGCGGGGCAATCATAAAAGCGAGGCACCACTGTACACAAAATCAATTAAAAATTCTTCAGGTATGTGAGCAGCAAAAGGCAAACCAAAGACATACAGTGGTGCCTCGCATAGCAAGGCTAATCCGTTCCAGATTAACCTTCGCTGTAGCAACAGTGGTGCCTCGCTTAACGGCGATAATCTGTTCCAGGAAAATCGCCGTTAAGCAAAAACATTGTAAAGAAAAAAAACCTATTGAAACGCATTGAAACCCCTTCAGTGCATTCCAATGGGGTCAAAACACCATACAGCAAAGAGCTTCCATAGGGCAGGCGTTTTCGCTACCTGTCTTGTGAGGAATCTGTCCCAGAAAACAGCGGGGAGCCATTTTGTTTACTCGGCAGCCATTTTTAAACCGCTGATCAGCTGTTTTAAAATAGTTATTTTGCAAAGCAAAAAAACCCATTTAGACCATCGTTTTGCGATCACAATTGCAATCACAAAAAGATGATCATAATGTGGTTTCATCATAATGCGGGGCAATCATAAAAGCGAGGCACCACTGTACACAAAATCAATTAAAAATTCTTCAGGTATGTGAGCAGCAAAAGGCAAACCAAAGACATACAGTGGTGCCTCGCATAGCAAGG